AATATAATATGTAAAATTTAAATATAAAAAATTCTTTACTCAGAATTTTTAAAAATTTTCAAAACTATCAAACGATTGTGGTAATTTATTTATTTAGTCTCTTCAAAAAATTTTAATTAATTAACCTTTGAAACTTTCCTCAAGTTTTATCATTGGTTTCAAGTTGTTTTACGGCTTAAAACTCCTCCAACAAAGGGTGTATAAGGATTGGGGGTGAGAGAGTGAATGCCTGAATTTGAATCTAGAATCTCGATGTCCTAAGCACCGTCCTTCTAAAGAAATGATCACTGGATCAATCAATAATGGACCACTAATTTCATAATTTAGTTTATAATATTTCATCTAATTTCATGATTTTTTTCTCTTGGTCATAAATTTTTTAATTTCATAGTACCTATAAAATTTTCTTCGTTCTACTAGAAGGATGCCATTTGCGTTCATTTGGGGGTCCGGTTCCCTGGGGCATCTTTTGTTTTTTCTTTTTCTTGAAAAAAAAAATCTTTATTTTCCTTGATAGTGCTCGTTTCCTGAGGGCAGAACATCAGCACAGCTCACTACCATGCGGAATAATAGCGCCATCTGATGCAGACTCCTGATTCACTCCAGGACAAAATTCGAAATTCACCTTATCAGGCCGGCCTAGATAAAGCCTTTTGTTGGGCCCCATTTACCACAGCCGAAAACCATTCACATGTGGGCTGCTACTTGGGCTTAAGCCCCTAGGAAAAGTACTAACATGCGCGGTAATATTCTGCCGCAGGGTGCATAACATTACCGCTGGTCCTGACTTCTCCTTTCATTCCCCCGTTACAATTTCGGATTTCCAATTAGAGCAGTGCTAGGGTCACTCGCTTTTTGCACTCTCCGGCCAACACTTCCCCTTTCATTGGCCATGTAAAAGCTTCGTTAACGCTATCAGGCGCAACCTCTCAAAAAAACCAAAATAACGTGGTCCAATAAAAGAGTAAGTGTTGGCCGGAGAGTGCAAGAGGCGAGTGTCCCTAGCACTTCTTTTAATGGTTTTGGGTGATTAAGAGAAAAGAATTATGAGTTACAATATTCCAGCTGTTGATAAAAATATTTAAATTTTTTTAATAAAATAATATTTAAAATTTTATTAAATATATTTAAATAATTTTATTTATATTTTTTCATATTTTAATTTTTATTGTTCTCTTAAAATAAAAAAACAAAAAATTATATATATCAATTCATATTAAAAAAAATTAAAGTTATCAACATTAATTATGAGAATTTGTAAACTAACTAATCAAAATCAAACTGAATTTGAGTTAAATTTTTAGAGCATCAGTTTATAATCTTTTATCATTTGATTCATAGTTATCTAATTATGTTATCTTAACATCTGAGTCCTTCCATTATAATACCTTTGGAACACTTTGACTACAACAGAATTATCAAGTAATGATGACTATTAATAACAGTGACAAGCAGTACATAGCAGAGGTCTACCATGCCTTAAAATTAGTAAAATTGGAGTGAAATTTGCTACATTATAATTTCATTATAATACCTTCGGGACACGGGTTTGTTGTTGACGCTATCTGTTACGTGTGGACACTAAGCCTTAAGGCTTCGGAAAATATGTGGGTGTAGGATTAAATAAACAAGAGTGCCGCTACCCACGTTGTAGTGTCCACACACACCATTTTTAGCTTCGAAAATTTTCATTTTTGTTACAAGTCCAAGTTTTGCGAATGGGATATTCTAAAATTTTATAAGATATTCATCCTTATAATCATCATTATATTAGTTAAAGATATAATTTAACTAAGAATAAATAGATGTTCTAATGAATTAAAAGGCAATCAATAATTAAAATGTTTTTAAATAAAAATATATTTAAACAATACTAATTAAATCACCTAATGTTATCTATGTTCAATATAGCAGTATCTGTATAGGGATTATTCAACGTAAAAATGAAGAAAAAACACGCACAACCAAAAAAGTAACGATTTGAAGTTATACTTAATTACGTATATACGCACGGAAAGATGGCAAAAGGCCAAAGAAAACATATGGTAAAATGAATTTTGAGTCAAAATAATGTAGTTAGCACTATCTATAGCTGGGGATTAAGACAAGCGTACCTTGTCAATGCTCAAAACTGAAAGCGCGAGGGTGGAGAAATTTGCTGGAAATTAACTACAACGATGGAAGAGTACGTAACACAAGAAGAGGATGCCAAATAATGATCTGAAAATTAAAAGTCCATCAGTAGTTCGAAAAAAAAAAAGGCAAAGAAAACATAGATAAAATGAAATATGAGTAAAAATACTATAGCTACAGGGCTTGGAAAATAACTATAGCTGGGGATTAAGAAGTGTACCTTCGCTTTGAGCTGACTTGTTAATGCTCAAAGCTGAAAACATGCAGGTGGAGAGACATTAATTTGCTGGAAAAATTAACTACACAGATGGAAGAGTAACCCACGAAGAGGAAGCTGACTTGTTAATGCTCAAAGCTGAAAACATGCAGGTGGAGAGACATTAATTTGCTGGAAAAATTA